TTGGGGGGGGGGGGTGATGGAAGACGTGCCCACCCAACTTATTATCACAGTTGAATTCATAACAAAGAGTTTTACCGAGAGATCCGATCACATTTGTCAAAATTCTGAAAAGGCCTTATTTAAAATAATTACCATAATTACCCTTTTTTGGTCTATAACTTTTTTTTGAGCCTCCCCCAACTAACTCTTTACACTAATTGATTTGTAAAAGTACTTAATGAAAAAATACTTTATTATAGTGTTTTGAGAAGCTCTCGAGATAAGCTACAAGAATAGGCAATAAAAAGTAAGCAGTTCCATTTAAAAAATTAAAGATGACCTTCACGTGACCTTCAAGCAACTATTGAAGGTCAAATTAATGACACTACCTTATGTCCCCCTCGAAACCATACAACTTTTGTCTGAAACATTTTTTTCTAAAATGCATTGTTTACGAGATATTTGACCGTTTCCAGACTTTTCTAACACCCTGTATATATAAAGGGTGATCCTCGTAACGGTCGCCACGATTTTTAAGGCACTTACAATAATTTGACATAAAAAGGTCATAAATAGAAATGTATCAGTTTCTAACCGGCAACAAATTGCAATAATAAAAATTGACCAAACATTTTTTTTCCATAAAAAAGCAAGGTCACCTTCAATTTTTTAAATGAAATTGCCTACTTTTTATTGCATATTCTTGTAGCTTATCTCGAGAGCTTTTCAAAACACTATAATAAAGTATTTTTTCATTAAGTACTTTTACAAATCAATTAGTGTAAAGAGAAAAACAAATAATTGTTTAAAAAAATACATTGTAAATAATTACATACTTTTTCTTAAAAACAATTATTTTTTTTTACTAATTGATTTGTCTCATTATTCTGTACATAAAAGCATTACGGTAAGATTATCGAAAACTAAATATTTTACGAGATATTTTATTTTTTATATCAAAATATGTCAGAATAAAATATAAAATAACTCAAAAAGTACTTAATGAAAAAATACTTTATTATAGTGTTTTGAAAAGCTTTCGAGATAAGCGAATATGCAATAAAAAGTAGGCA